TGGCAATCATGCAGCTGTGAACTCAACTAGCATCTTCCCTGTGGCAATCATGAGCAAGTTTCATGTTTGATTAGCCCGAATGCATGTGCAGTGAATTCTGGTTTTAATCTTGCTGAGACTGGTTGCTAGCAAAAAAAAAAAAAAAAAAATTCTTGATCACACAGGATCACAGAATAGTTGAGGTTGGAAGAGACCTCTAGAGATCATCTAGTCCAACCCCCTCCTCCAGCAGGGACACCTAGAGCACATGGCACAGGGTGGCATCCAGGTGGGGTTTGAAGATCTCCAGAGAAGGAGACTCCACAACCTCTCTGGGCAGCCTGTTCCAGGGCTCTGTCACCCTCACAGGAAAGAAGTTCTTCCTCACATGGAGATGGAGCTGCCTGTGTTTCAACTTGTACTTGTTACCCCTTGTTCCATCACTGGCCGCCACTGAGCAGAGTTTGGCCACATCCTCTTTACATTCTCCCTTCAGGTATTTATACATATTGATAAGATCCCCTCTCAAACTTCTCTTCCCCAGGCTAAAATTCAGATACAGGGCTTCTTGATTGGCATTTTCACTACATTGTGAAAAAAGGAGTATATCCTTAGCTTATCATCAGTAGAAGGTTGATCAAGAGTCACCAAAAGAAAGAGTATTAAATGAACAAACTTACAAGGATTATTCTGAAATATTACTCTCCATAGTAGGCTTTTAATCCTTATGAATTCCTCTTCAAAGTGCACCATAAATAATGGGTCCATATCAAAATCACAGATTCAAGCCTAAAAGCTTTATCAAAATGTGGTTCCTGAGAGTCTGATTAACCTTGTTATTGACACTGCAGGTACCTAAATGAGACTTCTTGCATTTTTCACTGCCGGGGGGAGCATTTCAAAGGTATCTGCAGTTAATCTCAGATAATTTTCTTTGGAAGTAATAATTAATTTAGAGCCCATGAGTACTTATTTCAGTATCACAAGGTCCTTTGCGCTCAACTTTATGTTTGACTGTTGCATATGTTGTATCAGCTGCAAAATTTGTTGCCTAGGTTGGGTGATTCTACAAGCAGTCCCTGGCCACTATGAAAAGTACCTGTTTTTTATATCACTGAGGAAGTTTCAAAGTCCCTGGAAATTAGGACTGCCACATGTATTTATAGCATTAACAGCACCTGGCCAAAGTGATGCTAATGAGAAATACACTATAAAGGTATATCTGGCTTTTTTTAATATTTTGTTGCTCCATGACCTGCTCAATCACTTTTTTTCTTTTTTCTTTTTTTAATATGCTCTGAATATTACTTAGTTTAAAAAGTGTAGCTATCAAGCAGAGCAGTGAAACTAACAAACTGCACTGAGTCAAAGTACTGTAATTTACTGTTATACTGATATCAGCCTGAAGTCAAGGGCCAGATTCTGATGGCAGACTCTAATCACTAATATTTTCCTCAATGTTGTATTTGAAATTTAGAATGGTATAATGCATTGCATAAACATTAAAAAATAGAGTGAATGAGGATTTTGAGACAGTTCCTTCCTGAAAAGGGAAATGAAAGCAGAAAACCAAACTTCTAAAACATACACTCATGTTTTTTTTGTGCCACTCAGGACTAAATATTCCTTAAAATAATTGCAGCAAGTGTTTTGTCAATGATTCAATAATGTCCACTTAGTGAAAAGTTGGGACTGTGCTTTTGGGCGGGTGGCTCAAGGAGAATGGAGGAATTGTATTAACGTAGTTGTGTCTGTTGAAATTCAACTAAAAGGCAGATTCTTGAGGGGTACTTATCAAAAAAAGAAATTCTTTCCCCACCAAAAATGTTATTGTCATGATGAGCTTTTACATCACAGCACACATACGACCAAATAATTTGTCCCGAACTCTTTCTTGTTACTTACTTTTAAAGAATGTATTGTCATGGACTTCAGTAAATATAGGTTTCTAACTGTATCCTAAAAACTTTATAGCATGCTATAGGGTAAATATGAGTAGTAATCAGTCACTGTAAGCATTTCTCCATTACCTTCATCTTTATGATCCTTAAGAATTGCAGGGGGAATCCGTACTTAATATATAAAAATAACATCTCGTAGCTTTTAGATCATTTCAACTGCAGTCTGTAACTCTTCTGTAAGAACATGCCTCATGATCTCCATGTATTCCTGACAGACAAAATGAAATATCTTCTTCAATTCTTTTCATACATAAAGTGAAGTACAAAGAAAAGTGAAGTGCCAAAGTTTATCTTCAAGATAAAATGGTCACATCTGGAGAGCACATTTTGAAGGATGTAGTGTGGTATTGGGTAAATAGCTTAAAGCTCCCTTTTTTTTTTTTTTTCCTTTAACCTTCAGGCAGAGTACTGTCTTCAAAGCTAATCAGACTTAGGGATTTTACCAAAGTTCAAATGACTTGCCTGTAGTATGATTTTTGCATTTTTAAAACATTCCCAATGCAGTTTCACTTTTGTCTTAAATAATCAAGTAGATAATGGATTTCAGTAGCACAGCAATGGAAAACTATCAAGAACTTTTTGAGGCATTAATAGCTGTGGGTATAATATGCCCTTTATTTGTTTTCATCTGAAGGAGAAACATGTGACTTTGTCCTGAAATTTTATGTCTTTTGCATGAATGTTGCAGACAATCCTGGTTTATTTTGCTAACACGCAAACATGCTTTGTACAAAATATGAGTCATTTTGTTGCTTCTGCAAAGGCCATCTTCAAATTTGTTTGCAACAAAAATGTTTCGGTTTTGTTCTTCAGATCTAGTTCTGGAATAATTTCTATGGTAATGCATGAAATGTTATGGATTACAATCTATTGTGAATAAATCAAAAAGAACTTATGCATCTACTGGAGAAACTGTTACAGAAATTATTGCAATCTTTGCTGATAAATGTAAATTATTTTCATGTTCATGGCACGAAATCCATGGCACCAAGTATTTGATTTTTTATCTTATCTTTCATGTGTTACTTCTCTATTGGAGAAGTAACTGTCACAGGCATGATTCATGGTGGGCTATAATGAAACCAGGAAAAATATTTAAATATTGACCTATCTGGTTTCGTATTAGATCATGAACATTGTGTTTACTCTTTGTCCATTCTGTGCTGAGCAAGTAGTCTCTAGATGCTGTATCTTATGCAGGCAGCATGTAACATATGATGCGTATATGAGACAAAATCATTTTTATATGTCAAATGATTGCACATAGAAGAAATGCCTAGCTCCTAGCTCCTTCTTTCAAGTAGTCTATGTCTTTACTAGGTACAGAGTATATACATATACACTGTATATACATATACACATATATCATTTTGCATGACAGTGTTCAAATAAGTGCTGCATAAAGTTTATAAAGAAATGTAGGATTCTTAAGCTTTGGAGGCTTTGTGTATATGTCAATTATTGCTGTTTAAAGCTAGACACACAAAATTTTATGTCATTTTTATTTCAGTGGGTTTTTTTTTGTTTTCTCAGTCTTCAGTGAAGATGGAAACGTACCTCAGACACTAAGTCCTCTCTAGGAAAAGTGAGTAAGTAAGTAAATACTTTTATGACTCAGCCCTACTTTTGTGTCTTATTCTAATCCGGTTCTTCAAGGAGTCCAAGATCACAGTGGGCATCCAATCCACTACATTGTACCTCAGACACTAAGTCCTCTCTAAGAAAAGTGAGTAAGTAAGTGAATACTTTTATGACTCAGCCTTACTTTTGTGTCTTATTCTAATCTGGTTCTTCAAGGAGTCCGAGATCACAGTGGGCATCCAATCCACTACTGAGGGAAGTTTCCTTTCACTTCGAAACTCTTTTTTTTTTTTTCCTTTGAGATTAAAAGATTTGTTTCTCTCAACTTCTTACTCTGTAATTTCCTCAGCATTTCTAAAGACACCAGCAAAGAAATTCATATGTCAAAGCTGAAATCTATGTACAGTTCTAAAATTACCTGTTCAATAAAACATACAAATTCCTACAAAAAACAAATGTGCAGATTACATTGCTATTGAAAACTTTCTAAATATTTCCAGTCTTTTTTACCATTTCCTCAGCTGTGTGGTAAGTGTAGAAAGATTGTGTTTTAACAAGAAATGTCTCAAACATCCCTGACTTACTTCATAGGTGCCATTCAAGGTCTTTGGATTTTTGAAGTTACTTGCTGTGTGCTAAAAATCTTGGGTTCGTATAAGCTAAATTCTTCAGGATTCTTCAGTGTAGTTCTCCAGAAGTGTATCCAGTTGTTTCATGTGTCCCTTTTTTCATACAATAATGAAATAAACAGCATCACTATTAATAAGTGATGAGCAGTCAACCCCAAAAGGGGCATACAGAGCTAACCCGAAGGAATTCCAATGCACTCATGTATAACTGAACATTGCCTGGGTCAGAGCTTCTCCATGGATGTCTCTGTCTGCTTGGAATTTGGACTCTTAGAACTGTTAGGTGCTTTCAGAAGATAACACAAGAAAGGAGAAGGTGATATGTGTGACTCAAAGACATGGATAATAAACAGATACTTTACACTTTATTAGCAATGAAAATACATCTTACAGACATAATTCCACTTAGAACTTGCTTACCTCCACTGTGGAGGAAGATAACCTCCTCTATCTTTCCTCTTACTTGTTGAATAGATTTAACTAAGTAAGCATTTAAAGATACAGCACCTGGCATCATAAAAACATCTTAAATATTGCTTTTTGTACTTGTAAAGTAGAAGAAATGTAATAGAAGGCAAGAATAGTATTAAGAAGAATTTCAAGGAATAAAAGCCGGCCAATTGTAGAAAGTCTAGAAAAATATTTCAATACTTTGTAAACCCTTACCTTAAATGATAAAATACAGTAGTGCTACACTCAAAGCATATGTTAGAATAATTCATATAAAAAGATATACCAATAAGGGTATTCTGCATCTTGCACATGTCAGTTTTTCTGTTTGCCTTGCTTTAAGTTCAAGGCACAGTATTTTTTTTTTTTTTTTATCTAGAGAACAATAAAAATGCATGAATAGTAAGACAAATATTAAAATAGTATTAAAATAAACATATTGAAATCTCCATTATCAGGTATCTTCAGGGCACAGACCAGAAGCTAGTATAACATTGTCCACTCCAATTTCTCCAGTTTTGCCTTTCCCGCGTTCTGTTTCAAAAGTGATCTGTCATAAGAAAAGATGAAAATGTAATTTATCCAACCATTTAGAAACTCTTAATTTTAATTAGCTATAATGCTACCTCTAAGGAATGTTTTATCACAATATAGAAAAGACTTAATGACTTAAATCCTTGAAGTTTTTATAATTTCATTTTAATACTAGAACTAGTCTGATAATCCTCTACACAGATTTACTATACCAAATGGATTCCTTTAATAGGATTAATTATTCTCATTGTACAAAGAAAATGTAAATTGAGTGAAATCTTATTACACAGCTGTATCACAGAATGTCGTGTTTGTGCATTCCTTTCCTCAGAGATGTTGCAACTGTCAATTTTCCAGTTATTTTGAGACTTAATTTTTGGATCCTTTCGGAACCTTTCGGAACCTTACCATCCTGACTAGGATGTCCAGACTTCTGGTTTACTCTCTGATTCTTGGGCTCTTGGGGAGATTTATGAAAGGGCTCTTGTACATCATTTAAACAGTGGAAAGAACCTTACAAAGGGCTTGCATTATACTCACAGTGGAACCCTTTACACATCAGTAAAAATACATATTCATATAAATGAAAACGAGGCCCTAGAATTTCAAGGAGAAACTTTCTGATGGAGCCCTGATTGAGGCAGTTTTCAGATGCGTAAGAGTTCACCGTGTTATCTGTTCATTAGCACCTCATGCACCATCTAGGTTGATTGCCCGTCCTTGATTATAACTGATATCCCTTTCTCACTAATGGTCTGGTTTTGTGAAGTTTGAGAGTGCTCTGTTGCATGAAACAGGTATCATTTTTGTCCTTCCTGGCACAGATTTATGCTTTCTGTTGCATGAGCTGTTAAGCAGAGATTTTGATTGATGGTGTCTGTTTATGATCTGGTGCACTTTTTACAAAATTATAGGATTATTAGCATCAGTGTCCTCGCCAACTGGGGTAATTCAGTTCTGAAATTTCAACCTGATAATTTTTCTGGCTCCTTAGAACTGTGTTCTTGTTTCTCATTTCAGATGAGGCTTTCAATTGCCAGCACTTCCACAGTTGGTGGAACACTTAAATGCTAGAAAATTAAGCTGTTGTTGTGTTGAGTTGGTTGTGGTAGTCGGCTTATAAATTGCTGTGTACTTACGCTGTTGGTTGTTTCAGCTGCCTGAAATATTTCTATTTTTCCAGTTCTCCACCTTTCATCTTTTCCTTTGCTTTCCTCCCAGACAGGAGCAGTTCTTTTGCTGGCCAGGAAGACTCGAAGTTTCCCTACCCTCTCACCAGCAAGCCGATAACTGAAAATCAAGCAGTAGCTGCTTTTTGGTTTGAGATCAGTAAGGAGAAGCTTTAGTCGTCCCATATCCTTCTTGTGACCCACAAAGGCTGGAACTGCCATGTAGTAACCATCACCTTGTAACAAAGAAAAACGGAGAAGGCACCTTTAATGGACTTGTATTATTTGTTGGCAAATTAAATATAATTTTCCTAAGAAAACAAGGGGAAGATAGCTCTGTTACTTCAATAATTTAATCAGACTGGAGAAAAGCAGTAGGGAGTATACCTCATAAGGAATGATCTTGCACAAGTTAGATCAGTTTGAAGAGGAGATGAATTCATATTTCATTGTCAATTACAGTCTTTCCTCCTAACTTTCTGTATTTTTCAAAGGCCAGATCATCTCAATTTTTCAAATCCAAGAGCCTGAAATTTGCTGCTGAGCCGTTATGGTCAGACTGTTCCAAATACTTGAGCCAGCTTGGTAGAGCGAGCTCAAGTCTCTCTCCACTGCCCTCCACACAGCAATGACAAGCTCGTGAAGGAGCTGATCATTCATGACCCAAATCCTGCAGGTCTAGTCAGACAAGTAAGACACACAGTAGGACAATGGGACAAAATATATGGGCAAATACATGAAGTCATAGTCAGCAAATCTAAGTTTGGGGGAGTGGTGAAAGACTTCAGAAGTGACAGGATAGAGAAGGGTCTTGGGGGAAAGAAAAGATGCAGAACAGGAGAGGAAGGATTAATGAAGAAGGACTGTGATGAAAAGACTGTGGAGGAAGAGGGAGACAATGTGTACATAAGAATTGGAGCAAGTGGTCTGCAGGATTCACTGATCCCTCCTGGCCCCTTCTACATCATTTCCCATGTCACAGCAGAAAATACATCTTTTGAAACACATTTCTTCAGCCACACCTTTTTAAAAACACCAGTGCGGTAACCACATGTTGCACATGGAGCGTTTTGCCAGGTTTCATCAGACCTGCTATTGTAGAACTCAGTTATTGGTAGCTCTTGAATGGTGTCCTCCCTTGGCTCATTCGAAGTAATGACTTCTTTAACTTGCAGACTTGACATTTCTCATCAGTTAACACACTGCTATGTCTAAACCATGTGAAATACTACCACCTTGCCACATCCCTCTAAAGACAGCAGATATGTTGTTATATGCTCTATCAGTCTCTCAGAGGCTTAACATGTAACACTATTAAGGTTTCTGTTGCTTTATGTCTTGCAATTCTTACAAGTTTTTTTCTAATTCCTTTTTCTCATCTTTTCATTCATTTCTGCTGAATTATATTGCTGAGTAGCAATTGCCAAGGATATTTCAAAGAAACAAACTTCACCCCATCTTCTCTTCCTTCTTCTGTGATTATTGCTTTTCTAAAGATAACCTGCTGATAGGAAACCTAATTGCTGTTTCCACTCTCCCCTCCCTCCCCCTCTTTCTGGAGGCACTGAACCATCAAATTAAACCATAGCTAGAAGACAGATATTTAAATACCACTATCTCGATCAGCAAGATTCCAGTCAAAGTCATCATCAGTATCCTGTTTCCAGACGCAGACCCCACGACTGAAGCTGCAGTCAACTGGAAAAAAGTAAAATAAAATGGAAGCACAGAGAGAACAGCAGCATTATGTAAGTATTGATTAAAAAAAAAAAAGCTTTTATTCATCTAGTTATGAATGTGTAAATCATTCTAAAAGTATCCAGAATGTGAGCCACATTGTGCTGATGTTCATTAAATCGCAAAAAAGCACATAAGTGGAATCAGTGAAGTAATCAGAGAAGTGAGATTTCCTTTACTCAGCAAAATGTATTGTTCCTTTTTACTGCCAATCCTTCACCTATGTATGATTTTATATTTTACATTTTGTATGTATGTTATGTATGCATTTTATATTTATATTTTTTGTACTCTGGATGTCTGCTGATTGATAGGTGTAGTTTTTCAGTTTGGAAACTCCAACACAGTAAATGGTTTGGGATGCGCCAAGTTTAAAGGCTTCCTCTCGGTATGTGTTATCCTGCTGTAGCTGTAATGAGCTGAGGAGGTGCTCAAGCTTCATTCTTTCCATTTAAATGGAGAGGCAGGACTAACTATGAGGTATCCTTTAACTTCAGGACTTGATACTCTTATAACATGAAACTGGGAAAAGCCCAAATCATTCAATCTTTAGAGCCCACTGCAAAAAAATGGTCATCCAGAATGCACCACAACCTTCGTAACTCTGAAGATCAAAAGCATTGTATATTAGGAAATTATCAGTGTGCAAAGCAAACACAATAGGTCAGATAGATTAAGAATAATATATCAGCCATCTGAACTTCATTAGAAAGACCCAGTCATATTGTTCTTTTAATATATTTTATTGTGCGATAGAAAAGTGCAATATGGCATTTAGAGAGCATTACTGTATAAAGACTTAGTTTCTAGGACTACAACTCTCTGGATGAAAAAGGAAAGTATTTCATATTTACTGTTAGCTAGCATACTTGTCTGTTGTTTTTTTTAAGATTTGTAAGTATCTATGGATTTTGGGATGAAACACACTTTGTCCTGAAAGGACCCCACTTACAATTAATTCCAATGCTTCAGCCACTGCTCCTTCGCTGGTAAATCCACAGGAGAACGCTGTTGCTCCACACGTGCAGTAGCACCGCGCAGTCTCCCCTTCCCACCTCTTGAATTCGGCTTTCTCAATGACTCTGTGATTGTGCCTTACTGCATATTTTCAGCTTCCTGCTCACCTCAGCTACCTTCAAAAGGCTGCATGTAACTCTTGGAGCAGTAAGAGAGGGAGGGTGACAGTGCCCTTTGATCTGCTTTGACCAGAACTACGCTACAGTCTATTGTAGATCCCAGCAGGTAGTGGAGCTTCTGTTTGAAAATATGTGAAATAGTAGTAGTATAGGGAATGGCAGAAATTAAGTTTTGTACATAAATTGGCTGGTCTTGGACCTCATACGGTCCTCTAACTGATTTTATATTTTTATTACGTGACGAAGAGGAGGAAATATCATCTTACTCTGACATCCACAGGATATATTGATGAATTGTGGAATATCATGAATTCATAGGAATTTCGTTAATATTTAAGATTTAGGATAAGTATTTCTTCATAGGAAACTCCTTCTGTATCTGATAGAGGGCCAGGAGAAATACCAAGAGCAAATAAGTGAAGGATGTTTCACTATGGCTGCGTATATGCAATGCTCTTCTAATATGCTTTCATTTTATAGGTGACCAAAATGATTTTGTTTTTCAAAGATTTGAAATAAATCAAGTACAATTTAATCGCAAGGTGAGTTTCTAGGTAGGGGAGCTTGCTGTATATGGCTTATAAACAGTAAAAGGATATTTTAAAAAGGACCTCAAATTAAATTCACACTGTAATGGTTTGGGCCAGATAATGTGTCCAAACTGCTAAGAAAACTTGTTCTTTGTTAGAGAAGCTTAGCAAGTAGATAGGTATGAATACACACAATGCATAGGAAAATAAATACAGTAGAGAATAAAAATAATCTACCTTCTTGCTCTGGTGTTGATACTGGAACTTTCTTCTGTGCCAGAAAAGGACCAAAAGCAGCTGCTTCTTTAACCTTGGGAACTAAGAAAATAAGTAGTCAAATTCCAAATCATAACAGGAGCAGAAAATGGAAATTTATTCCTCTATACCAGTATTTATTCCTCTATACCATACTCCTGCAAACCTTATAATTTCTTTTGTAAAAACTGGTTGACTTGCTTTGTGCCAAACTGGAAGAGCTGGTACAGAAGCAAAGTCCATGTTAGTGGCATTCTCTAAGATATTGGTTAATAGGGAGTATTTACTCCAGAAGTGTTTTTGCAATGGCAGCCTGAGAGACCAAGTTAAGAGAAACTGAAGAGCTATAAAGGTATAGGAAACTTGCAAACCTGTATATTCACTTGGCTGTCAGCTTGAGACCTCAGTATTCTTAAACTTCCGTGATTAAGCTCCTTCTTTTGCACTATTCTAAGTGATAATTATGGAGAGATTTAGTGTTATTCACTAAAAAACATAGTCTCAACTTCTCTGTGTGGAGATCATATACTACCTGATCATATATGAGACGATCAAAAAATGCTCCTTCACTGGCAGCAGATTCTATTCTTTGCAAGTATGGGTGGATATGTTACATACACACATACCTATGAAGAAAAGCTTAAATGCACTGTTTTTCAGGGGATGAGGATGGGCAATTTTGAATTACTGCTTACAGAAGGCAGTGGGAAACCTGACAGACTTTTCAGCCATGCCTCATGGTCAGCTTGACGAGGAAAACTTCAGGCTTCCTCAACTGCCAGATGACAGGAGTTATGAAAATGGAAATTGCTTCTCCCTACTTAACATTGTAGCATTCATACCATTAGAAGCTGTAGAAGGCCAGTTGTTTTAAAGCTTGTTACTCTCACACGCCTGCACATCTGTTCAGGGAGCAGTTTGTTCGAGTGAGTTCCTGTTAGTGAGGGCTTTTCCCTGAAATTCTCTGGCATTTTCTTAGTCATAAGCATGTCCTCAGTTTTAAGAACATGCTTACAACACACTGCAGTCCAGGGCCTCCTGGTAGTGCATCTTCTTACCCTTGCTGTATTCTTACCCTTTCTTTTCCTGCAAAATTGTTGGAAATGGTTGTGTGTGTATGTCAAAGAACACACCAGCAAAGAGGCCCTGGAGGCAGGTACAGAGGTGCTGAGCAGAAAAAGGAGACTCCTGCAGTGTTAAAAACTATCTGATGAATTGCTAGGCGCTTGTTTTCTCTTGTTGCCCTTGCAGCGTTCCCCTCACCCAGACCATTGCATAAACCACCTGCATAATATTCTTACTTAAGGCAAGGATTAATCTCTCACTTTCCATGTTAATATATGTCTATGTATACACCTTTAAGAAATAGATGGGAGAGATGTTGAGTCATGAACTTAACTCCATATTTTTAGAAAGGCCCAGCTATAAAAATTCTTGTCAAAATGAAGAAAGTATATACACCTTTAAGAAATAGATGGAAGAGATGTTGAGTCATGAACTCAACCCCATATTTGTAGACAGGCCCAGGCTGTAAAAATTCTTGTCAAAATGAAGAAAGTTACTAAAATATGAAAAGTTCTGGGAAAAGCAGAGTCATTTAATACAAAACCTGATGAATGATTTATCTACTGAGTTATTGAATTACACTTGAATTCACTTGACAGTTATACACGCAGGTGTAGCCATGTGCTACAAATGCTTGAAGTGTGGAAAGTTCATGCACATAAAAAAATAAAATGAGGGAAATTTTGCATCCATATCTCTTTTTGGTTTCAGTGTCAGACATTACATTCAGGTGTCCACCCACTGGGAGATATCACTGGTGTGTTAGGAGAAACTGTAAGTTTCAGATATACAGAAGAATATAAAAGATAGGTAAAAAACTCCACGTGATCTCTGATAAAAGCATGATTTAGATAAATGCATTTTGATAATACAAAACCTGATGAATGATTTATTTACAGAGTTATTGAATTACACTCGAATTCACTTGACAGTTATACATGCAGGTGTAGCCATGTGCTACAAATGCTTGAATTGAAGAAAGTTCATGAACATAAAAAAAATTTAAGTGCATCAGTAGTCCTATCCTCCTAAACAGTCTAAGTTATTTATGATGAATGAAGAGAGAACAAGTGGCTCAGGAAGAGAAGCAAGGCCATGCAGTGGAGCACAGCTAGGTGTTACCTCCCTGCCCTGTCTGGATTTGAAATGTCAACTTCTTGCAGAGCCTACTACCCGCTTCAGTCAGATCCGGTGCACATCTTTCTCAACAGACTGCCTAGGACTAATAAACTGGACCAAGTGCCTGTATTCATATTCACTCTGAACCTGAACACCTGCTGGGCTTTTGAAGACTGTCTCTTTTACAAAGAACTCTTGCCCATGAATGGGGACACTAGCAGAGAAGAAAGAGGAATGAGAGCAGATGTAAATGGAGTCCCATCTGGTGAGGATAAAAACAAAGGCTTTCGAGAAGGCCTCGTTCTTGGAACGTGCCTGCATTTTGTGTTGGACCATCACAGGACATAAGCAGAATGCAAAGTTCACCCTCTCCTAAGAACTAGGTAGGGGTCAGGCTTGCTCTTGTCAGCTCTTCTGCTGACCAATGGTGCCTGCAGAAATGCACATCTTCCTAAAGAGACCTTGTCTCCTAATCCGTAAAAACATATTTTCACCAGCTAAAACTCATAAAGTCCCTGTTTACACATGCCATTCTATCCATTCTTCCTGTACTACCAACATCCACCCATCTATGGGTGGATGTATCAGCAGCACTAGTTATTATATAATCTACAGTTATACACAAAACCCTTTGTATCTAGTGCCACTTAATTTGAAATGTTGGGCTGATCATCATACTCTTTTGAGATAAAAGGATTATCTTATGATCAGCAAATAGTGGCAGAGAGAAATAAGGCCCATATTTTCAGAGGCACTTTTATTACTACCTCCTACCAATTTCCATAGCGATTTGTGCCTTGGAATGTCTGTGAGCAGTTGAGCATAGGTAAATTGGTGACATTCTGCTCCTAAGAACTGTCAGAATTGTTACGCTATTAGATTCTTGCATCTGCAAGAAATTCCATGCTGTTATCTGTACTAATGCACACTTTACTTTTTATCCAAAGTTAAAAAAAAAAAAGACAAACCCCCAAGCCAACAACCAGAAGCTCAACAGAATGGTTCTGTGGAGCAGGAGCAGAGTTTTATGGCACTCTTCAGAAACAGGACAAAAACACAGACAACTAACAGTGGCACTCAGTGAGCTTACCAGAAACACTTGATGGATTTTGCTCTTTATGCACTCAATTTCACCTTCCATGTGCAAATTACTGCACATGAAATGACTTATAATGCATTTTATACTTATGGAAATGACTTTTTTTCCTGAAAAATGTGGTTTTGTTTATAACGAAAGTAATTTTCTATTCGTAATGCATACGCCATCCTTAAAGCTTTAATCTCTCTCTCTCTTTTTTTTTTTTTCTTTTCTTGTTAAGGAGACTGTATTTCTCATAAATGATCTGCAACATCACAGATGGCTGCATCTTGCTGAGGCAACCATAGAAGAACGGACATATAGCAGAATATAAGGAGTCATATATTTAAGGGACCTAGTTATAGGGAATGTGGTATATTTTTCTTTTTGTTTCTTGTTGTGACTGTTTGATTTTCCAGTTCCCTGGAGAATGCACAAGACTACTTTTTAGCCAGCTGTAAAAAAAAAAAAAATCTAGGCAGTTTAATTAGTCTAAATGCAAAAACTACACACAAAATCTGTGAAAAATAACTCATTTAGTAATTCTAACACATACAATTCTAAAGAGTCTAAAACTGCAGTATGGAGGAACTCTCACAAGAATGTTATTGTTGCCTACCTGACACTATTCTTTTATGGTATTCTCTTATGGCTCCTCATTTAACCAAAATCATCTTTATCCATAGTCACCCTAGCCACTATAGCTTTTCTAATCAAGAGGAAAGTTTGATTCGTCTCATTCACATGTATATATTTGATTAAAGATTAAATCAGATTAAATCACCAGTAGTTTCTAAAAGAAGCTTAAGTGACTATCTTGGAGGTCTACACATTATCTAAACGCAGAATCTTACTCTTGGATCTTCTTAAGGGTTGCTGTTGAGTGGTGTCTCTTCCATAAAACCCTTAATAGTATTTAGTTAATTTGGGGCATTATGAGAACATGCTTTTCAGAAAGTTCCTCCTGTGTTGCCATATAAAGTTCTGAAACTATATATATATATGGAAGGATATAAAGGTCGTGTAAATCTACCAGTTGTAAATTTAATCACATCCTCCAAAGGATTATTCCAAAGTAACATTAAAAACAAAAGTAATTTTGAAGTCTAATGCTCAAGCAAATTAAAATGCTTGAATCAAGAGTAAATTTGGTTATAGTAACATGGATCAAATATGTTATATGGAAATTTAAAAGGAAATAAAATTAATATAGGCAACTCATCCTGAAATAAAAATGGCACGATGCCTGAAGTCTTATACATAGGAGAGAGCAAAAGAAAGCCATGAATAATATGAAGCTTATATACACAATAAAATTTGATTTTGGGCTTCATTACATAGCAGTATCCCTGTATATGGAAGCACAACAATCTTCTGCCAGTATCCCTTAGCAAAACAAAATCTCTCTGAAGTGTTCAATGTAAAAAAGAAGAAGAGAATTTAGACAAAAACACAGATAAAGCAAAATACCTTAACATTTTCAAAGCAAAAATAGTCACATTCACTGCTCTCAGGTGTGGAGGCAATTTTGTATAGATGTGTAACCATTAACATTAACATTAACAGTCTGTCTCTGCCCACCCATACAGTATTCAAATGTTGTGGTTTGGCTGAAAATGGATCTCCACACAAATGGTTTGTATATTACTTTGATCTGAATTTCCCAAAGGTCAAACAATTTTCCTTGCATCCCCTCACTCAAACTGAAGTGTTGGAAACAAATCTATTCCAAACAGTGTGGCAGAGAATATTTCAACAGAAAGGGTACGAGAGCTATCCTTGCCAACTGTATCAGGTCGAATAACCCAGTACAGGGGAACATGTAGCCTGTATGTCTGAACCCTCTGTCCTTTTAACCAAAAACAACGGTGACCATACCCGGAGTGTACTGCTTCTTGTACCTTCCAAGTAGGTAACCGAAGAAGCCTGCTTAGATGCCTGAGCCACTTTGCTCAGTCCATCAAGACATCCATCACAAGAAGGCAGGATGGGCCAGGAGAATTGACATCAGTGACTTGTTTTTCAACAGGGTACCTTGTCTAACAACTGAGCAGGTATGAAAAACCAGTTGTTTATGGCACCAAATTTAGGTGAAAAAAAACAATATTAGCACTAGCTACTAATATTTAATTATTTCCATCCTTTTGCATTTGCTTTTGTTGAATTTAATGAGTTTCCTCTCAGCCAGTTTCTACAGTCTATGCAGGTCTTTCTTAATAACAGACCTGTCCTCTAATGTGTAGATCCCCCTTCTCGGTTTGATATTGTAAGTAACACTGAACTATGCCACAGGCACTGACTATTAATAGCTCCAAGAAGAAAGGAGGCCTGTGAACAAACCTCTGACTTCAGACTGAGTATCAGCTCTCTGGCATAATTCTGTGCAGCAATATTAGGCTATATCCACAGTCTGAAGTGAAACAAATACCAAATGGCCAAATGCCATGGAACATCAAAAGAAAGCAATTTCAGGAGGAGACTGCCAAAGGCAATGAAGCTTGTATTTTCTAACGTACTTAGGTGAATAACCACATTTGTTATTGGCTTTCTGGCAGCAGCAATATAAGAGATCTTTTGTTCTGGAGGCCTTTAAAATGTTCTTTAAAAAAATATGTGCATGTGTCTTTTTTAATCAAAGAGCGAAAATTCAAATGCTAATTTAAAATTTATTTATTCATTAATATCATTATGGAACTATGCAAAAGTTTAATCATCATGTGATAGGCTTTATTATTTTCCTGTACTTTGTAGAAGAGAAAGTTTCATGGATGAAAGATTAGCAGAGGATATTTTTTACAATACTGTTTTAGCCACCTCCTTGAAGAATGTCTGACTCAGCCAGATATGTTAAAATAAGATTAAAATACATTTGAAAACTTTAAACAGCAAAGCAAGAAACTGTTTATCTTTGAAGATTTTACAACTTGTGAGTGATTATTTTTTCTAATAGGAGTAACATGAACAGAAGTAGGAGTGTCTATATTATTTGAAACGAAAGAACACCAAAAGTATGCACCATTTAGGATGATAAATATGCCTGCCATGACTCAAACCTAATTCCTGTCTTATTCATAAGAAAACAGCAAAATAGCCCATCTCCTTGGAACTTTTCTGAAGAAAATGAGGAAAAGCTACATTTTATGCCTACCTTGCTCTGAAAGAACATTCTCCAGAGCCGCTGTCAGGATGGGAAACCCCAGCCCTGTTCACATGACTAGAGAGAGATGCCCCCAAAGGTCAGATTCTGTAGCTTTAATCTCAGTGGTAAGTAAGTTTATCGGAAAAAACTGATAAAATGGCTATAATGTATATGTTATATATATTTACAATGAAACTCGTAAAAAAGTGATGAAGAAACTTACAAAAAACGTCTCCTCTAAGGCTTTGCTCTTGGTCAATCTGATTCTCAAAATCTTCCTTTTCCTCCTCTTCTGTCTCCTCCATCTCCTCTTCTCTAGTAACCTCAGTCTCTTTCTCAGTGTAGCTGGCACCAAGATAGATGCCACCTCCATAGTCAAATGGCTGCAAGTGGGTCTTAGAAGCTGGTGTCATGGCTGGTTCTGGGATCACATTCTTCATTGCTTCGTGTTTTTTCACAGTGTTTTTATGTGCAAGAAGTTTCTTAATTGTGTCCTTAACTGCTCCAGGAGTTCTTGGAATTTCCTTCACTGACTTCTCAGGGATAACTAGAATAAACAAGAAAATATTAAACATTCATCTCAAGAATCATTATGTAGAGTATTTATTAACAGCGCAAAACAGTCCTTTATAATCTACAGAGATTATCCAAATTATATCCTGAGAGATGTAAATTCAGCTCTGAACAGAACTGAATCTACATGCAGTAACTATGCACTTAGCTATGTCATATATACAACTTTCTGTTGTTGTAAAAAGACAAAAACAATCCTCTTTAATAACTTGAATTGGTCTTCTGTGTAACACAGGTCAGACATTATATTAGTTTTTACACTGGAGTTTGAAAAAGTTTTTTACCTTTTTTCCATCTGTGAGCTACTAGAAGTTGTCCACAGAGATGTGATTCCCTATATAACAAATGTCAGCAGTGAGCACTTTTCCTATACTTCAGAGAAAAAGAACAGACCAGCTGATATAATTTAATCCCTTCCAAAGGTACTTTTCTTGTCACACATATTGGTATGCATTAGTCACATTTTATTTAAGGCAAATGCAACTACATTTTCAGTTCAGTATCTCAGGAGCAAAACCAGACTGCTTTGGTTTACTGGGGCATTCAGATTTTCTGAGGCTGAAGTTGCAGGTATAAAGTAAAAGGATGTTAATAAAAAAATCAAAATTGATGTTTTTGTTCTTTTTCCTTTGCCTAGCTTGCCACATGCCTGAAAGTAATCTGTTTACTTATACTCCGCTAAGCAGGCCTTTCCTCTGGAGGATATTATGAAGCAGGCACTATATAATTTAGCTGCTGTGGTTCTCTGAGCCTAAGTTCAGAATGCAACAACAAAAACTAACATGAAAACTTAATTCCAAGCAAATTTCTTCCTGACAATCAGTAACATGAAACTCTAAGCTTTTCATAACCATGATATGGAGGTTTTCCAGACAAGGTTGATTGCCCAGCAAACCAGAACATCTGCACTTTGTTTCTGCTTCAAAGTCTTCCTAGTGAAATGAAAAATTCTTACAGCTCAACATAATAACCTTTCTTGGTGTCAGAAAGCCAATCTTCCTGTATGTGCAAAACCAAGCAGTGTGGAAAATCAGCTGACAGGAGTGTCAAAAACATGTGGATGAAAGTGTACGGCCTGCACGTGCCTGCAGACTTCAGTTTGCTGCTGCAGTGTGAAAATCTGAATGTTTATGTTTTATGTCAAGAACAAAGAGGGACAAGGTATCAGGCAGATTTTAGGAGGTATTACCTAATCTAGATTCAGTTTTAGAGTAGTTTGACTTGTGAAATTAAAGCTTTTTATCCAAAAATTGCTGTAGGAGTTGTTCATGTTAAAGGACAGATCATCTTAACCTCAGTCTCTTCTGACGAACCTGTGGACTTGTGCAAATGAACAGCTCAGCTTCTCTGACAGTGTGGGATGCCAGGGTCGAGACGGTGGCTTTGCAGGGCCCTTTCCCCCAGGAAATACAGGTGCTGCTCACAAGCACTCATGCATTTAGTCAGACATATTTAATTTTAGAATTAAATGGTGGTGGCTGAGGACCAAAAGATTTTTTTTTTCTGTTATCCCTTTCCGTGCAGGATTACTAGACCACAAAAATGGCTTTGTATAGGAAATCTAATGAGTTGTGAAAGTTGAGTTCAAAAAAGTATATAGAGAACAGATGCTATCCTCTTGCCTCTCTACTATATTGTGCAAAGAGAAATACTCTGAAAATGACACAGAACAGTGACAGTCAGTATTCTGTGCAATATATTAAAAAACCTGGTTAGAGCCTAGGAGCTTTATACAAAATACATTTGTATGGTTATGGGAATGTGTAGATCTGAGTAATCAGCAGGGCACAGTTTGAGAAATTATTCCAAAAAAATTCATTATGAAGGATGCCAATTTCAGAGAGTCTTAAGAGATTCAGCAAATTTGTACAGTTTAATGTACAGATTTTAGAGAGAGGCTATTATTCTCTTTTAATCACTGTGGAATACCACCTAACTGTATATATACATATATATGTATCATTTATTGCATTTGTAAAGTTCTTGCTGTCTCATTGAGGAAAGGATGCATTAAGAAATCATCCCAAGGAAAGTTTTCTTGGGATTTGCAAATTAACAGGACAGCAAAACTACATGTGGGTTTTAGAGGTTAATCAATGACCAAAAAGAAACCTATGTAAATAAGAGGGACAAATAGATTTGTCATGACTTTGTATTGACATTTAGATATTCAGCAAATCATAATGAATAATAATCTCTGTCTCCAGATGGGCAATAAAAAGAAAGGGCCATTGTGAATTTTATCATAATATTTTTCAGCATGATGCCTGAAGCTTGTAAGTTTTAAGTTAGTAGTAGTTCTTTATGTTACTGTGTAACTTCCTACTTAGAAAAAAAAAAGGTGAATTAAGAGAAGATTCATTTTTTCCTCCTTAGTTGCCTGTGGAAGCTTGTGGGACCTGACTTTTAAATAAAGGTTAGAATGCACAGAGAAGTATGTAATGAAGGAAATACTTATTTTTTCAATACACAAGAGGAAGTCAGGAAACACATGAACCTGAGAAAAGCAACAGATTGTAGTGAGATAGAGGCCAGATGTGGAAATGGCTAGGATCCTCTGAGGGAGTGCTGCAAAGGTCA